TACTGGCACTGTTTCTATTTTCGGCTTAAAGATTTGGGGTTCGCTCCTGCATTAGATATTTTATTAATTTAATATGCACGCCCGTTAAAGGCAATAAAGTTGCTACATTTTACGCTCAGATTCAAAAACTGAGGCAGCTACTTCAACAGTTGCGGGCGTGGCGGTTGTTGTGGTCCATGCTTTGCTTGGGTTTCTGTTGTTGTGCGGCTTAAATCAAATAAAAAATGTTTTTTTGGTTATCGAAAAGGCGCTGAGTTTTTGAGAACAGGAAATATAATTTAGCTGACGCGGCGTGTGGTAATTAAAAGGGCAAAGCAGGTACCCAGTTGTGGGCGTGTCCAGTTCGGTAGCGATTAGTTTAGATTTCTCGATTTCAAACACGCACAAATCAAAAGACTTAGGCAACGAACTCGAGGGTAAATCGATGTAGACAAAAACTTCCCACATAGTTGCGAACATTGTCAATGCTATCGCTAAAGACAATAAAATTAATATACATATATAAGACGCCTGTCGACAACACCAACAACATCGACGATTTGCCAGTTGAAGACCCAAATCTAAGACCATAAATAAAAAAAACAGCGAAGAAGGGTAGCGAAACATGAAAACCGCGATGGCTTCGCTGCTTGTTAACAAGTTCACCAGCAGCAGCAACAACAGCATCAGCAGGTAACAAACAACAACAAAAAAACTGCAAAGGTATCATCTCTACACTTGGCCAAAAGATCAAACGCATACATTTTAGCGGCAGCTTTTGATAATTTTTTTCCTTGCGCTCTGCGTTTTTGCCAAAACGCAACATTTTTCATATTGTTTATTTTAGTTGAAGTTTTTGTTGATTTTTTATTTTTATTTTCTGGTTTTTTCTTTTTATACCCTGTACCCATTGAAAATGGGTAAGCAATGGCATATTGGCTCATGCAAAGTTGTGTAACACTCAAAAGGAAACTTGTCCGACTTTTCATACCTATGACCTACGCATACCCTTTCCATTTTCAAAATATCGATAAATACGATTTTGAAACCTGATCTTTAAAGCGTAATTCAAAAACTTTAAGAGTTAGGTACCTTACATTTTATATGTTGGATTCTCGTATAACATATAGAGAAACACATAGGAACCTCCCTCCAGTACCCCAAGGACCAAATTTTTTTTTAAATCTAAAGCCTAGTGACCTTTATTTGCATTTGAATAACATATTTACGCCCTTAAAAGTAAATGAAGGTCGGACATCATTTTACAACTGGAAGAGTCCAAAGGAGAGTACAGGGGATTTTGTAGCCGAGCACACTCGACTAAAGCAATCAATTCTTGTTTTATTTTGCGCAACTGGCGCTCGCCCCCTGATGGCGGCATCATTAAATTAAAACGAAATTTAAACAATTTCACTGAAAATTATACACAATGAAGAAGCTGCCGCTGAGGGCAGCAATGAAGCTGAATGAAGCTCCGACAACCTGTCCAGCGACTGCAGACATAACCGAAAGCCTGTCAGTCAGTTCGGCTCAGAGCAGACCACTCCAGTCAGTCAGTCCCTTGTCCGTCTGGGACGACGAAGACGACACCGAAGACGACGACGCATTTGGTCTGGACAGGTTGATTACTGTTAAAATTATCACTGATTGTGATAAGCGATAGCTGTGAGCACGTCATGTCCACGAAGACGACGAATTTTGATGCTGCTTCTGCTGCTGTAACTGATGCTGATGGGGCTACCCAATAATGGTACGCCGCCTGATGAGTTTCGGGACTGGGCTGTTTGCACTCGCCTCTGGGGCCCGAAATGTTGAGGCCCATAACGAATTGTTACAAACCTAAATGGAGCAGCTCGTTAGTCCAACAAGTTAATGTGCATGAGTTGGGAGTCTGTGTGTCTTTTGTGATATGTTAATAAGCATTTGCCACTTGTTTCTTTTGTGTGTTTGGTAGGCATACAAATACAAATTTTACGAGCCAAGTAGCGTTTACCCAAGTGTCTGGTTTGGCGCAAAGCAACAAGTGTTTGCACACACCTACAACCGGGAGAGAAAGTTTCGGCATGCATTAGATCCGATAATTTACAGTGTGTAACCCAGAAATGCATTTTCAACTCTCAGCGTGGGAAATTTCAAATTTCGAATAGCTTTTTATTGAGCTACTTTTTATTCTCACACTCCTTTGGCAAATCATACAAAATTCGCAAACAAAATTCGCTGTATTTCAAAATCTTAAATGAAGAGAAAAATGGCGATGTAAGTAAATCTCAGAAACCAAAACTGAAAATAAAATCAAAGAAACAAAACACGTAAGCCAAATAAAATAATAATAAAAAGCAAAATCAATTTAAAAACGAAAACAAAACTGTAACAGAAACTCGGACAAGGCAATAATTAAAATACAAAATACCATCATAAAATTTAAATAAAAAATTTAAATTATTGATTAAGATCGACGAAACATTATATTAAAACCAACACAAAACTTGAGAAGTCAAAATAAAAGCAAGTGAGACTTTCTGTAGTAGACTAAGGAATGCTCTAAAAAAGCATTGAAAATATGGTATACTTAATGTAATACTATAAACTAATATAATATAGTCAGCTTTTAAAAAGTACACTTACCTCGAACTTTTGGGTTCATCTCTCAGCTCTGACTGTAATGAATAAGAACTATAACAGACGTCCAGCTTTTGACAAAGTAAATTTTAACTTTTAAAATAAAAATGTTTACAAAAAGTTGAAAGAGTTGAAACTTTTAACATCAAGCTTCATAGAAAAATCTCTACTAATCTCAGATGATTTGATAAGTATAGGGTATAAAAGAAGAAGCTGAGGGAGTGACATTATCAATTTATTTTAATTGCAGCTGCGGCTTTTAGATAAAGGCCGCCATTGATTGAATGAAAAGAGAGTCAGCCATGTTAAATCGCAGCTCAATCCTCAAGCTGATTGAGCGATGCTTTACGATGCCCATTGGCATTGCGTCGCTGAGCATTTTGTTAGAAACTATCAAAAGATTCATAGCTATTTGTATTGGGTAGCACGTCGCAGCTGCGGGCTTAATGCATGGCTTGATATATCTTTATGTGCGGGGATTAGTAACATTGTGTTAAAGCACATTTCGATGCGGTCGAGCTGTGAATGGATCAGCTAAGGAGGCAACGGGCAGTTTTGTAGTATATGAGTCACAGCAAATCAAACATTGCGTATGCGCGATATTTAGAAATTTGAACATTTTTCCGTAGAAGTAATTAGTAAGTTGAATAAAGATCAGCTTTAACTGTACGTTGCCTTCTGCCAGCTGCAAGAATCTGGGTTAAGCAATGAGTACTGAGTGGAGCCTGTGGCTTCCTACGGCCCCGAGAGTATTTGCTTGTCTCGCCGGGCAGCCCACTTGGGCCACATTTGCATATGAGTTCATTTAGCAGTTTAAGAACTTGGCACAAATAAACTGCAAGCTCTATGTTTAGGCTACGAAACGTGTGCTAATTTACATGAGATCGCATCAGAATCCACATCCTCAAGCACATCCACATCGACATCTCTGTTACACTGGGTGTGCTCCCAAAAAAATAAGGCAGCAAAATTAAATCAAAAGCGCGATACGCCAACGTGGACCCGCCGCCAGCCCACTCGATGATGATGAAGAGTCTATCGTCGCCTGGAAATCGCTATCAAGAGCGCGCATACATATTCGAGTTAGTCCCTGTACACTCGGAAAAAAAGATATTTCTTAAAACAAGAACTCCTGGATGTGATATTGGGCTAGATTGGATGACTAGAACTGGACTGATTTTGAATAAAATCCGTTTGTACAGTAACAATGGAAGACGTGTAAGACAGAAGAAATGGAATTTCAGGTGTGAAATTAAAGAATTTAACTATGATAATGACAAGAATTAGAAGGGACCATGGAGCGCACATAAGAATTAAAAGTAGCCTATAATTTTTCTATGTGCATCTTGCAGGCGTTGCCGTGGTATAGTCTGGCCTGGCTCTGGGCTGTTTTTTGGCTGGCCAAGTGGCAAGTGCAGATTGCCAGCATTAGATGAAATATTTATATTGTCTATATGAATTGAGCTTGCGATCTGCCACTGCAGCGAGCCAAGCAAAAGTACTCGCAGCAGGACGCCAGGCATATAGCACTAAGTCCATGGGCATCCAGTCGCACTCTCCACGGCTGCTCGCATCAGGTAGCTGTAGCGCACACAAGTGTCCAGCAACGACAGAGATATGAGCCCATTCTGCAGTCACGTTTTATTTAAATATATGCGCGTGCGGGCAGCTGTATCCCCGTTGCCAGTTGCCAGTTGCCAATTCCCGCTACCCTGCAGCCTGTCGCCTGTTCCAGTAGCTTTAGCTGCTTTACGGGCCGCCTTTGGGGGTGCCGATGAGTTTTTCCATACGATGTCTTTGGCTACTGTATGTTCGTTTGAGATATGAAAAAGTAGCTCAGATGTAGATGAGCCGAATTGTACTGTACTTGCGGCTAATTTAATGCCAGTCAATTTTCCTATAGTTTCACATATTCGATTGCCTGTCATCTTGGCCCTGAGGGCGACAAGTGTACTCAAATTATGAGTCAAAATTCCATGTACTAAAATTTGAAATTTCAATTACCCGAACATCACGCGCAATCAACAGCTCGCTTACAGATTTAGCCTTTGCATGATTAATAACCAGCTAACTCGACTCGATTCCCAACCATTTCTTCCTGGTACATCGCGTGATGCTGCGCCGACTACCCTCAAAAAACAGTTGCCACACCAAAATGCATTTGTTTTTCTTCATTTTTTTTTGGGAAAATGCACATGAAAGTGTGGAAACTATTCCACATGCTTTGCAGTGTAAATGAAAAGACAAATAGATGTAAGAAATAATGTGCACAAAGAAAACAATCAGAAAGCATATTATGGAGTATTATTAGCTAGTACTAATGTATGATATACTTTTTATTTTGTATTTCAGGGATAAAAGAGCTGTACCTTTTAAATTATAATTTTAAGAGCATTTGGGATTCGTTGGCACTTCTTTAGTTGCTGGATTTAGTTTATTTGCCAAGGCGGCTCTTTGACACAGTAGTTAACCGGGCACATAATAATAATGGAGCACGTCGTGCCCCTCTCCATTCACTGCACAAGGAACAAAAATGAGAAAAAAAACAGGTAGCTGCATCTCGCCAGCAATTGCAGTCTCCCATTACATTTATTATTTATTAATAACATAATTTATTGTTTCATGGCATTCATGTGAACTTCATGAGCTTACTGTGCCTGCAACTTGTACCTACAAGTGCCTGGGTAGGGGCAGAGCAGGGCAATGGGGGTGTAAGCTCTGGCTGGCGACTCAAACTGCAGCTTCAGGTTCGATTGCCAAACGGGGCATTAGGTCGTCGCCAATTGTTAGACGAAAAATTGGCGTTACTTTGGCGCAGCGCGACGTTCGCTTCTTGGCAACTTTTGGCCAGGCTCCCTCCTATTGCCGCTTGCGAGTAAATTGCGCAAAAGATTCTTAAAGTTAACGGCCCTTCATAAATTTTGTTATGAAATATGTGCACGCTGGCTTAATATGCCAGCCAGCTTCGAGTCCAAGCAGCCAACCGACTGGAAAACTGGCGTCGTCGTCTTTTGTCGCCGACATCGTCGATGTCTGCTTGGTGTTCAGTTTTCCCTCGAGAAAAGTTCTCAGCTTGGCCGGCATTTTCCCTCATTGTGCAACGGTTGCTGCTGTTGGCTGGCAAGTGGCATGACAATAAAAATTTACGATTGCTTTTATGAATTTACGAGGTTTTTGTGCGGTCTGCTGTGGCGTTGCTCACCGCCAACCCACTGGCCACCCCCGCCTGTCTTTTGCTCGTGCTGTAATTTGACGCTAATGAGTGTCAAAGTTGATAGTTTGATTTTGGCAAATGGCGTAATTGTGCACCACAACGAGCATTCAAGTGTTGGCTGGGTTTACGCCCACTCTTTGCGCGAAAATTTCATTCGTCCAAACACTCTTGTTGAGTGGTTAGCCTAAAGGATATTAGACTCAATATAATAAAGTACGGACTTCTTTTGCTTCTGCCAACAGATTTAAATGTATTCGCTGAAAATTGCAATACCTTCATATAAATATTTAATTCTATTGGGAGTATCGATGCTTGCGACTATCGGATATTAAAATTCATCAGAGAACATACATATGGATGTCTATTTTCTGGGATTATTTCCCAAGCTTACCAGGTCCCAAATGCTACGCAAGCGCTAGGTTCTTCCGTTCAAAATTATGTAAACTTATAATTTTCTATGGAGATCGGTAAAGGTATCGAAAATCGAAATATTCTTGATATTTGCTTACTGTACGAGAACCTACATACCTAATTTGACATATCTGACACCACATTTTTTTCTAGTTTGGTTCAAAATCGTAATTATCACCGAGAACATCACGGTTCTTTCCTTAGAAGACTAAGCTTTCTTTACTACGCATTTGATATACACGTGGTTTTAATCAGTTATTTCTAGCTTAGTTGACATTTATCGAGCCTAACTTCTATTTTATAATAACCCCAGAGATATCTTTCTGTACGTCTTGTGATCAGAATGCTGTTCAGTCAATTGTAGACGCTTTCACTGCTTCTCAACGCTTAAAATCAAATTTATGACCGGCCAGGAAAGGAGCTAAAGAAAGAAGGGGAAGAGCTTCTCTGCTCGGCCTGCTGAACTCTGGCCTGGACAAAAATTTTCACGCCGCTGCCACATACTGCCAATTTAGTTGGCATTGAGGCACTGCATAATTTCACCTACAGAAGAAATGAAAAACCGTATCTCTGGGCATTGTGAATGCAATGGCCAACATCGGCGTCATTGTCGGAGGCACGCACGCAACTTTCATTGAATTAAACCCTAAAAATATGAAGCTTATCACAAATCAGGCAGCAGTGGGACTTCATCACCTACTTTAAATGTTGGCTACCGCATGAATCGCGACTCGAGTTGACCTAAATATGGCATGGCCGGGGCGCGTGGCCAAAGAGGTGTGGTGGAATGGGTATGTCCAAACCGCTGCAGACAGTCGAAGATGAACTAAAAATTCAATATACAAAATATGTGCCGCCACAGCCGCCAAAAACAATTTACCAATTTATGCTGAACTGCGGTTCGACGTTGAATCCTTTAAAGCAACACGATCACGGCTACAGCAGCTCTTCTCATGCGCATGTGCATTCTCAACAGAGTGCAGGTCCCAGACAAGATACTCGCCGCGAGACGACTTCACTGACTCGGCAAATCACTAAATTTATATGTTTTCTGATTCAAAATATTTATTGCCAAACCGCACACAAATCCCAAGCAACTGTAACTTGCAAGTGGCCCCAAAAAAGGGCAGCGGCAAATCCAAGTGTTCCGCTCAAATTGACTGAAAAATGGGAGGAGGACATTAAAATTTACCAAATGTATTTATTACGGCACCAAAATGCAACAACAGCCCGAAACTGATGCGTCGACCGCAACCCACATACTGCACTGTGAAATCCGGCCAGAGACTCACTCTTCTCTTCCGACTCCGTGACTCAATCACAGTCGCAGTCGCAGTCTGCAGAGTCGGCACTTGGCGGCGGCATGTTTGCAGATTGATTTGCTGCGCCCGCAGATACCCCAAAGATACCTCAAGCCAAACACTTGCCAGAAACAGCAAACAAAGATGCTGAAATCAATTGTAAGCTAAAAAAAGGCATTTAGTGTGAGCATCAGGCATCAGACGTACACTCGAAAAAAATGCACGTGAACCATGTCATCAGAAAATAATATTTAAATTTAAATATATAATTCAGAAAAGTATATGTGCAGATTAGAAAATGTTTACGTAAATCCTTCAGGACTTATTTGGTACATATGTGGTACATACAACAGTTAACTTGTTTTCTTTTTATATGAACTTCAAAAGAATCGTAGGTTTATCGTCATAGTTAGGTCTGTTTGCACATGATTAATTCGTTTCAGCATTGTATATATTTTTTCGCTTTACGTAACGAATTAAATTATATTTTCTTCACACTTTTCGTCAATAGCTAGTTGGAATTCCTTTTTGAGCGATGTCATAGATGTGCGGGCTTTTAGGTACCTTCTTAAATCCGTCTTAAAAAGATTCTTTTTATAGTTTTAACACCATAGTTCAACAAATGTTTGCTTCATGCATCGATTGAAATTCAATATTGAAATTGATCTTAGTGACAATGGTAAATTGGGTAAGATTACTGAAGAGAATACACTCTGTATACAGCTGATAACTCCCAGCTCTATATAAGGATATTTTTAACAAATGGATGATCCGAAAGAGACAGCGGATTTCGAAATGGATCTGTAAGTTCCGAAAATCGAAGATGACAGCCACAAGCATCTTACCTAATGCGAATAGCGCCTTCACTATCTTCCTTAATGTGACGCCAAAGCAGAATATGGATACTGATTGACAGATTGACGGTCAACGCAATCAGAAACATCAAAGATAACGATTTTGGCTATTTCATCTTCAAACTCAGAAATTTAAAGGATCTTTGTGAAAACTCATTGGAGACATGTTTCACCGACTTCTCTTGGAAAGAAAAGGCTGAAACTCGAGAGTTTATTTTTCGGCTTTATACTGCATACCATGGGACTAAAATGGGAAAAAGTTTATTTTGGCTTTAGGTTTTTGATTCAATGTATTTCGAAATCATTTTCGTATATCTTTTTAAAAATATAGCTGTGCCGGGAAAAGGCGGGAAATTCCAGTTGGCATTTTACGTCAAATTGACTCTTAAATAGTTGTTATGCAATTATGCTTTTAGTTTAGTTTTCTTTTTCAGTGTAGTGGCTATGAGTTCCAAAAACGACGGCTAAAACGAACTCACAGCGCGCTACAAGTGGTCCCTTAGACATTTTGGCATACAACTAGATTCAAGCCAAAGCCGAGGATCGAAATTTATTTCGATGCCCTGCAGCTGAATTATTTAAACCGACGAATTCAATTAGAGACAGTGACTTGGTTTTTGCGCGATAATCCAATGCAGGATCTGGAGAGTGGGGTGCTGAGGGGATCGTGCGGGAGGTTAAAGTTGGCGCAAGACAAGCTGAACGCGTTCGTTGAATTTGCGTTGGCGCTGAGGGCAAGTCCAAGCTGCGGGTGCGGCCTCAACGACTTCACGCAGATCTTTTGAGGAGGCGTCGATTGAGACAAGTGGAACTTTTCTTTTTAGCCTTTTTCCTTTTTTTATTTTGGTTTCTTATTCTTTTACCTTAGCCGCAGCCTCGGTAAGCTACAGGATGCGCGCTTTAATGTTTTGTTGGTTCTTTTAATTTAATTTAATTATATGCGCGGGCAGCGCAACTCCCTTTCAGTCGTCTGCGGGGGGCGTATTTATTGAGGCAATGCCTACTTTTCGCTGCCACAATATTTCCACCTCCTAAATGTGACGTATTTTGGGTACGGCTCGCGGTTGAAAAATCATCGCTTTCAACTTTTATATTATTGTATGTGATCACTTTTTTCGTTGTTAGAGCTCGCATTGTTTCTTTGTTGTTTGATCTTAGGAGTGGCTTGTTAAATTTCACTTGCATGTCAAGGCAGAGTTTTTTGTATAGTTTGAATCTTAGTGTGAGGTGTTGGGCGTCGATTTATGCGCTTTTCACTTGTCTGCCTTTTAGGGAGGAGCAACTTTAAGAAAAAGAAATCGCTTCGAGAGTAAAATACAAATTCCAATGTTTGAGTGGGCGATTGCATAATGTGGAGTATTCTTGCGATTGTTTTATAAAATAGTCGCTAGTAAAGTATTTCGTGAGATTTGAAACATAAGCCAGTCTAGACGATCAAACACAAATAATTCATTCAGAAAAATTGGTTGCAAAATATGTATCAGGCAAAAGCAGACGTCTTCGACCGCCCTTAGTAAACCCAACTTCATCTGCTCATCGTTTATAAATGGGTGTACAAGTTGTATGCACGCAAATTTATGCACTCGTAGCCATGTCTTTGGTGCCACATCCACAATTGAAATTGCAGTAAGAAATATTGCACCTGCCCCCCAACAGGCCTTGACCGTATTTAGCTTGTTTTTTTGTTTGTACCTACATACCTAAATAGGGGTCTCGTACTTAAGTTAAGTTGGTTTGCTTATAATTCATTCGCTTCAGCATTGTTTACATTTATTTGCTTTACGTAACAAATTAAATTATATTTTCTTCACACTTTTCGTCAATATCTAGTTGGAATTTTCTTTTTGTTCGATATGTTATAATATTCAAAAACATACTGGACAAACTACAATGTGTAAGGCAAGGTTGTCATTGTTTCTAATACTACTCCTGTCATTCCTGCCATGGAGGGCGAATGCTGAATGCTGTGCTAGGGTTGACGTTTTTTTTAAGAGGAAACCCAATTTGCAAGCGAATTGTTCGGATTTCCCTGGAGGCAGTGTACTTCAATTTTGGCACAAAAATAATTGTGTATCTAAGCTCTGTGGCGGTTTAAGAGCGGCAACGCCCTGTTGCGGGATAGGACAATGCAATCTGTTCTGCTGCAATTGTGATCAGGGACGGGAAACAGTTAGAGCAGATTTTTGGTCAATATATGGTAAATTCGTATTAAAGTTGACATGAAAGGAAATATGAAAAATTAAATAAAATTTGTACACATTTTTATATAGTTTATTAGGTATTTAAATAGTGTTTCAAATATCGATTTTTCAACATCGAGCCCCCGCTTAACGCCAACGAAACAAAGATTTTTTTAAAGTAAGGCAAGTTAAGCAAATTAGCACAAATATGTTCACAAATAAACAAAAATCATTTGTTCCTTAAATTAGATGTGATTTCGGTAAAGCTAATATTCGTGATGCATCATATAAATAAAATTTAAATTATTAACTCTTAAAATGCAATATACATACGAAATTCTTTCTTTTGAAATAGAAAATAGAATTTTCACAAAAACTGAAGAACATCGAAATAGCTGTCTGTGTTAAACCTTTTGGTATGATCCTAAATTCATTCCACTTTGCGCACATCCAGTCCTGTAAAGTTTATATATTCTTAGTCGATCGACTGTCTGTCTTTCTTTTCATCTGTCTGTATGCAAACATTTTAGAAAATAGGATGCATTTTTTTTTAAATTCAGTAATTTACCACGAGTTCACAAAAACAATAATTACTTTTATAGATTGTTATCATAAATTCTGCATATCTACTATTATAAACAATTTCATGAAAAAGCATTCAGGGCTTTGGTCAATACACACTTTTGAAATAAAACACTGAAAAATAAGAATCGGACTACAAGACTCATACAGACTAATCACAGTAAATAGGTTTTCATGTTAAGCTTAAGTTTGATCATTTTCCAAATATGGTTCCAGAACAACACCTAACCTTTGAACGGGAGCACGAAGCTCATCACGAATGAGCGGCAAAATGATTTATTAGCAGCATAAAGTGATCAGCCTCCGATAATATAACAGACGCAGTAGACAAGTGTAGCTCGACCGCCCTGCCCCCCACATGCCGTCGACTGGCACTCCCGTCTGCGACGCATATGGGCCACATACCAGAAAAGGCCACGAAACCGCATAACTGTCCATGTCGCTCAGTATCTAAACCGAAAGCCCAATTGACGATGACGACGACAGGTGATTAATTGTTTCAGGCGCGTAGACGTTACTTAACGCTGACTCCAAATGAGACTCCAACTCAGAGATTCGTGATGTCAAAGACTGAGCTGTATGTGAGTGCGAGTGGCCATATATGGGGATATATTTGCGGCCAAGTGTCGAGGCGAGGGAGAACAAAGCAAGTTGCATGGCTCATGAATGAATAGCTGAATAGTTGAGTAGTTGAATAGTTGGCCAAATGACTGAATGATACAAGCACCTGAAATTCAAAACAAAACAAAGCCCAACACGACGACAAAACAAAAAAAAATACAACAAACCTCGTGCGCAATGACAGCAGTTGAAGTCATGTTTTTCTTTTTGTATTTTGTTTTTTATGTTTTATTTTTTGGAATCGAGTGCTTAAGCGATCTTGGGTTACACTTTGCTTCCATTTCATTTGGCTTGGCGTGCGTGGTGGCTCAACCGAAACCCGGCCCAGCCGCAGCCCCCCGCCCAACCGATCGACCAACTCATTCGGCTTTGTGCTGGTGTCTGACTCGATGGCGTATGATCCACTGATTGCTTGATTATTATTTTGATTAATTAGCTTAGATTTGGCTAGTTCAAACTGTGCGGCCCACGCCTAAGGCCAAGATCAGTGCTTGGTGTTCGGCCGAGTGTGGCTCTGCTATTGTCTGGGTTTTTGGCTCATTGGCTCAGGTTCATGCGTTTGCCAATGATTGATTGAAGTTTTCGTTGATAACAGCTTACAATTGAGAAATTATTTACATGAGCTATAATTAAACCTGTTTGTTGTTCCCTGTCATTTGATGTGTGTTCACTGTACACCTCGCTGTCTCCATCTTCATCTCTATTGCTATCCTCCCTCTCTGTCCAGGTCTCGATCTTGGTCTGGTTTATTGAACTGTTTGCAAGCAGCGAGCACTGCCATGCCGAGTGTGGGCTGTATGGCCAATAGAGCCATTGGCAAGTGATGCTACCTATGTAAACATAATAAGGAAATTGCTTTAGGGTCTGTCAGATGCTCTAAGTTGATAAGTCATTTTAGAGGCACATGCCAAAGGTGCGGTACTCAAGCTAGAATCAGGTTATCAAAGAACAGCATCCTTAATGTATTTAAATACATTAAATTTAAATTGAAGAATTATCCTGACTTGAGCTGACTCAGTGATAATCAAAGGAGATAAACCTATGAAACTATGTTACTATTTTTTGTCAGCTCAAAAAACTAGAAC